ACAACTGTGGCAAAAGACAGCAAAGATAGTACCAATAAGTGATAGGTTCCCTCGGCGCAAGCCCAAAGCAACTAGAACAACACTTGAACAGCTAATTTGGAACATTGCAGATATCCTACAATGACATCTCTAATACTATCAAACAACATACTTCTCCAAGGTGCTTTTGAAGGACTGGATAGGTGGATAAAAATGTCAAATCTAGTCTAAACATCTGGCTGACTGTACAACCAATCATACTATCCATAAAACAATATCTATATTTTACTAGGACCAATGGGATTTTTATTTTAAAAAATATATAAGGATCAACAACATTCCCCCCACCCGTCCCCATGGATATAATATGAATAAAAACTTTTTTTTGTTATAAAACAATTTTACAACTAATGACACACCACCGCGTAATAACAAAGGTACTGGAGAACAGCATCAAGATTCAGATTGGCAAATTCAAATAAAGTCCAACAAGATGAATTTTATCAGAGACAAATGCAGAATCTTTCAATTTGGTAAGAAAACACTAGAAATTTGAGATTGTGGGTAGCTGGACATGCATGAAATGTATGGTTACCTTAGTGTCTTACAAATTAAATATGAATCAAAAATTAGTAAATGCAGTTCAATGCTTCTTTATTCTGCTTTAATCAGATCCTATTTAGCATATTCTTTTATTACAAAAATATTACAATATTTATGAAAGAAAATGATACATACACTGAAATATATCCAGATGAGAACAAACAAGATGAGAAGCGGCCTGAAAGGAAAACATATGAATAGTTGGAACACTGTAAGAGACACGACAGCTGTCTTTACCTAACTGAAGGCCATCATGTAAAGAGAAAGGACAATTGGTGTTGTTTCAGAAAATGACTAAACTTAGAGTTGGAATTCAGAGTGTCTACAATTCTTTCCAATCCTGATATTTTATGGTTTTATAAAAATGAAAGATGTAGTTTGTTGAGAAATGGAAGGAACAATTTAAAAGAAGGAAGCTCCAGAATCAGTAATGTTTATCATTGTTGCAGCTAATACAAGTGTTTTCGTTATAGTTATAGCTTTTCATACTTTTCATAGTCTAATTTTATCACATTTCTATTTCTCTGATTATTACCTTTTTATGTATTAAGTCTAATAGGGCAGCAAATCTGCCACTCTGCAACAAGTCAACTTCCTTTTGCAGCCTTCTGTGCATTGAAGAATAAATTGATGAAAATGATAGTCTGGAAGGATTACACAAATTCAGCCTTTGGCCAATCCAGCGTTTTAAAAAGGCTCCAGAAAAGTTACTTTTTGCAGAACTTCCAAAGTGCTTAACCAAGAAGTTATACCCTTCTGTCCTCCCTTAAAGTCAGGTCTCCTGTGAGTCTGTTGCAGCTTTATGGTGCTTTCTTTTAACCATGAAAGAGAAGTGGTTAGCTTTTGCCTTCTTCTGGGAGTATTTCATTTTTCAGTCTATAAAGTTTGATTTTCCTAAGATATCATAGCCAAGTGGTCATCTACTTACCTTTTCAAAATCAGCAAAGTCAGCTTGGTGCTGCACCTATTGTCACCACTGTTCTCCCTTACATATTTTTGAGTGCAAGTAAAACATAAATTGCTCAAATATGGGACAGTGTTTTGCTTGGATTTCTCATTTTATTTCCAATAAAGATTGAAAATGTTTCCTTACTTTCTGATTAAATAAATGAATTTTAAGATTGAAAGACTGAAAAGTTATGATTTATTCATTTGATTTCCATTCACTGGCAAGCTTTACATTTTCTCATTCAACCCTCCTCCCTTTTAGTTTTGAATTATTTGTTTTATTACTGTTATTACATGTTGGTGCAAGGTACCCATTTTTTTTCAGCCTTTAATATTGGAACTGTTTTAAAAAGTCAACTTTCTTTAGGGTACAATAAAACTGTGTTTTATATGAAAATTTATTTGTAAGCACGGGAACAATTTTGTGAGAACAAGGGGTTTATTGTGTATCTAACCTCTGCCCTGAATCTATTTAATTGCCATTTCCAATTCAATTGGAAATTTTATTAAGAATGGCTCCTGAATTATCACGACAATGTTACCAGGAAGGATGTTGCTCTGGATCACCTTTCTTCTAGAGAACTGATGTCTCCTTGCCTGTTCCTTACCTACTTTTTGCACTGCTAGCACAGTAAACTGTTTGCGACAGCTGTTTTTACATGTTTTTACAGCCACCCCAACTATTGTGAAGGAAAATAGAAGAGCTGGACTTGTGTTTTTTTTCCATTTCTTGGTTTCCTCTCTGCTCCTTTCAGCAGTGAATCAGCAAAACAGGATCAGCATTCTCACCTTACCCATTTCTGCTGCCTTTTAACATGGTTGCATTGCTACAACTGTAAGAGAAAGGGGAAGAGTGATAGACCACAGAGATGTCTAAACAATACCTTTCTAGGACTCTTTTATCAAAGGCAGAGGAGGCTGTTAAAACCCACATCTAATGAATCCAGCAGCCACTTGGACAACATAGTGTTGAAAATAGTAATCTCTGGGATTGAAGCCCAGGATTCAACAGAATAATTTAATGACATCAGATAACTGATTCCTTCACCTTGTGACTCAATTAGACTTGGTTTTTGAGCCTCATATTCTAGGAAGAAAAAAGATATTTATCCACACTTTCAATGACAGTTGTACATATTAAAATGCCCAAACCTGGGACTACTCTTGTTTTTCAAATTTAAAGCATAATGAAATTAATGCATCTGTACTATGAAGATTTGTACACATAGCTTACAATTCTTTTACATTTATTTTGATTGGCTTTAGTTTTGCATTAATTAACACTAATCAAGTCTAGATGTAACTAACATTTGAGGTTTAATTACTTGACTAGCCAATATAAAGGTAGTCACAGTTGGAAGAACTTATTGGAAGAACTGTAGTTAGGGAACAAACCTAGTCACATGTTATTAATCAAATTAAGAATAGTCATTAAATTAAGGTGTAGGAAACATATGTATTATTAAAGCTCTAATATGGAAAAATAACATTAATCTCTTTTTATCAGGAGGACACAGTTTACAAAATACCAGACAGCCATTCTGAATTACATTATACTACTATTGACTTTGCAGAAAGTGCCAGCAGCAACATTAATGCATCAAGCACTATGACTGACTATGATGATATCATCATTATTTCAAAAACAGTGACTCCTGCTGGCCAGCAAGACAGCAATGATTATGATGATGTACTAATAAAATAGGAGTTGCTTTATATTGTCTGCTTAGTGTTGTTTTCTTTGTAAAGGCCATTTTGATAGCATTTTTAAAATCATACTATATGGTGTATAGCAGGCCTGTCAAACTGGTGGTCTGTGGGTTGGATATGGCCCACACAGACCACGGCCACCCTGGCTCCACAAAGGCAAAAAAACATTGTGATACATCACAATACGGCCCGCAATGCAAGAGAGTTTGGCACCCCTGGATAGTAATAATATTTGCATTGTAAGATATATTTGTGGGTACAGTCAATAATGTTCTCTCTCAAATAGCTAGAGCAGTTTCTGGGATCTTCAATGTTTGCTGGTGTTCTATGGTGATATTTATACTACCTCAAAGTGCTGCTCAAACCAAGCTATCCTTTGGTACAGATAACAGATAATCAGAGTTGGAAGGGATCTTGTAGGTCATCTAGTCCAACCACCGCCCAAGTGGGAGACCCTACACCATTTCTAACAAATGGCAGTCCAATCTCTTCTTGAAAGTCTCAAGTAATGATGCTCCCACAACTTCTGAGGGCAAGCTGTTCCATTGGTTGATTGTTCTCACTGTCAGAAAGTTTCTTTTTATTTCTAGGTTAAATCTCTCCTTGTTCAGTTTCCATCCATTATTCCTTGTCTGTCCTACAGATGCTTTCGAAAATAGATCGACCCCTTCCTCTCTGTGGCAGCCCCTCAAATCTGGATCTTGAGCCCATCTTCTTGGGTGTTAGCTATTCCTGCCAGCTTAGTATCATCTGCAAATTTAGTCAGTTCCCCTTCTATTCCTACCAGGCCATCTGAATCAGTCCAAACAGCAGCCTTCACAGTCCAAACAGCAGCCTTCACATATAACTACACCACTGCACAATGAGTGATTAATATAAAATGTTCAATATGAACAATAACTTATTTGCCAGGCTTTCAGTTGCAGGGAAATCTGGGAGAGATGACACTTTACCCACCGGGTGTCTGGTGATCACGGGGATAAAGAGTTGTCTTTCACCACTTCTTCTGTGACCTCATTCAGTCCTGACCTATCAGAACCCATCAATCATCTAGAAAAACAGTTGGTAGGTGCTGGGTTAGCTACATGGTAAAGGAGGATTTTTTTTAGAAGAATGCTAAACCTATGGTTAGTTACTGTGTGGCAAGATAGGTAGCTAGTAAAATTTTACAATTAAAATAAATAAAAGCTTTAAAAAAAAAAAAAAACTAGCTTTCAGAAATGATAGGGAGCTGGTAGTTAACATGTGAAGTGAAAAATAATTATCCCACAGCACTGAGTAACCATCCATTGTTAGTTGAGCTATTTTTATGTACAGCTCAGTACTCCAGATCCATATTCAAAAGCAGTGAGGACACAGGTCTTTTATTTAAAGACCATTAAACTCAGATTTAAAATCAGCCCGAATCTCACAATAGATACTGTGTTTGTGGATGTGTAGTGTTTGGTGAAGGCAATCTCTGTTATTCTTCCAGCCGCTGTCAGCACTTTTTTGCAGAGGGGAATTTTGAGAATCATCCACTTCCACTCCTTCAACCCTAGCAGAATTTGGGAAACATACACTTTGCCTGCAGAATCAGAGCGCTGGTGGGTAAAGATCCATCTATCTATATACTTTACTGGGCAGCATTGATCTGTTACAGCAGTTCACAATCAGGTAACCAAGATTCAAGCAGATTCAAAGTAGCATAATTATTGCAATGAGCAAAGGGTTAGGTTATAGAATCCTGAAAATGAGGTATGTATATTTTGATCCTCATCTATCAAGAACTACATTAAGATGGAGCTTCAAAGTTATTGGGGAAAAACACTAATTGCCAACAAAAACGTCCTGTCATCCTATTCTGGAAAGTTTTGGAAATGTTCATTTTCATTATTCTTAGGCTCAGGCAGATCCATCACAAGCAACCTCCACCATCCCTTGGTGGGTTGGAAGGCTGTCCATTGAAGCAGGATAGCTTCCCTTACTTTAGCAGGGAGCCTCTGCTATCTCACAGATGAATAGTAACCCCAGGGCTTGATATTCTGAGTAGGGAAGGATTAGCTAATACAATTGGCCAGAGTTTGGAGGTACTTTTCAGGTTCTCAGGATTGTTGCATATAATAGGTGTGCCCTTGACTTGAAAATGCAGCTTTTGAAAATGCAGATTGCTTCAGCCAAGGGTGTTGCTAAACTTACAGGAGATGGGGAAGGGAGGAATTATCATTTGTTTCACCTGCTGCAATAGAAGGAAAGCCCCCATTCTGAAGAATTTGCACTGAGAGGAAACTCCCATCTATGGAAATCCACCCAGAGTAAAACGTTTGCATTGAAATAAAATTTCTCCATAGCTTTACTGAAAAAAGGATGAAGTCTGATGAAATATAAGAGATAACAAAAGTAAAAGCAAACATAGATATACAAACTACCACAAAACCAGATACAAACGTAAGACCAGAATAGAAAGAGAAGCCAGTTTCTCAGTAGCAATAATGGTGTCATTCAAAGATTTCTGAACTAATATAACAGAATCATAAAGACAGGCTTCAACAATAGCTGGGAAGAGTCACACAACATTGGGAATAGCAAGAGAAACATGAATACACAATATATATGGGGATGAGCGTGGTGGGAAGAACATCAAGCAATATTCATGCAACTGGGAAAACAATGTAGCCAATTTTTTTCTCTGGCAGGGGGTCTTAAACTATTGACATCTTCTGATGCAAGGATGGTGTGATTGCTGTGGACACCTTACTTTTGATGACATAAATGCTGCAATGCCAGTAACAACAACTCTTGCAGTGTCAATCCGACGAGTGTGTGGAATGTGGAATCTTTGGATATAATATTTGTAGTTTAAGAATATGCTTAGATTCAACCATAAACCCAGACTGAGAAATTTTAGTAATGTTTAGTAATGTGCCAGCCTGTTTAGGAAACAACCACTATCCCTTATAACTTCCTATGTATCTTTCAGTTTCAAATAGTTCAGAATGCAGGAGCATAACTCAATTTTAACTAATGACTTTTTAAATAAGAACTTTCCAAAGAGACTGTTTTTATATGAAAAGCTAAAATAGCATTTGATTTTTATAAAATTGCTTCAGAAAAAAATCAAAGTATATTTTATCTTTCAAAGAATAAATTTTACAAAGATACAGTTGCTACAAAATGTCATCTAAGATTCAAAAGCAAAACTGGCATTTTTAAAAATTCTAACTGAAGGCTTTATTTGCTTCAGACTTTAAATGCTTGCACATACTGTATACAATATTTATATTGCTGAATTAGGGAGTTTTCACTTTTAAAAAATTGCAAACCAAGCTTTTCATCTTTAACATTAATAGGGAAGAAGATAAAAAAAAGTCCTTCCAAAAGAGAAATAACTTGTTCCTAATAATTTGTCTGGTAAAACAACTGAGAATTATGTAACTTAAAGATAGTGATAGCTATATTTCCTAGGGAATTAACTTTTTCATTAAAAAAAAATTGGAATTACTGTAAAATGTACACAAATGAAAGTAAAACTGACAGAATTGTCCATCTTTACTGTATATGACTAGTAATCAATTTTGTTATGAATTATTAAAGCTAACACTCTCAAAGCAACACACATTGTAACAAAAATAATAAGCAATAATAAAAGCAATATTTGTGTACAATTGTGGGTGTTGTTGTTTTTTAAATACACCTTTCTGTAGAAACTTGATCTGGTTAAAAAAATGTAGAAAATGTTCTACATTATTACACAAAAAGGAGTCTTTATACTGAATAGGATTTTACTTATCTGAGATCTGGACCATTCATCCTCTTATCAAAATTGTTGCTTCAGTTTCTTGTACTATATTATGCTTTGATTGCTGTTCACGGAGTTTATACTGTTGTTCTAAATTTGAATTTGTAAGTGTGCAATTACTTGATACGGCAATTTTCTCTGCTGTTGCAATATTAAAAAATTGATCAAAGATCAAAGGAGTCCTCCAAAGTCACTCTTGAAATCTGCATTCAGTTCTTCCTCCCGTATTGATGGTTTATATTACTTTTAAAAAAAAACATTTCAAAAAAATGAAAAAGAAAACACTTCTGCAATTATTCATTATTAATATTTTATATCACATAAATTACATACACACCAGATATATTTATATATTATACCAATTATTATGTAAATGTTAGGTATAGATCCTTAACACTAAGATAAAAACTACTCAGGTTTATAAAATATTATTTAGTAATTTAAATCAGCAATTATAACCATTAAAAGGAACAAATTAGAATATTGTTTTATATATTAGGAATTCATTTATAAGTATTTCTCAGCAAGTAAGTAAGATAAATCAAACCAATAACAATAGTATAAGTGACAAGTAAAGGAGGCAAAGTTTCAGTGCTTTTAATGATGCCTTTCTTTTAAATTGTCACCTTCTATTATTAATCAAGCATCAAGACTGGTTTAAATTTCCCTTGCAAGAGAGGTGGGAACAGGTCTAGGTAGATTTTCTTTACTACAGGTTATCTTGGCACTCAGGATCCAAAACTCCCTTCCCTGCCTTCACATTTTTTAAAGGTCTCAAATATTGGCATTTGAAAGCTTAGTCATAAATATGAATGCCAGGACGGGAACTGATTGTCTCATTGTTTAGAACCTGTTACCAAGCTTCAAGGAACAAATTTATAGTTCCTAAGATGTTGGACCAGAGGTCATGAATTAGCAGAGTAAATGTCTTTTAATGTTCTTTCAAAAATGAATATGAACTTATTATTCACTTTGTTAAGCACTTACATTTTATTGTAACAGAAGATGGATCAAGTATTATATCTGTACATTCAGGTATATCCAAATCAGAGATGTTTTGCTTGTCATATATATTTTGTCTTAAAATATTCATTACAAACTCTTTACTCATTCTATACTTCATGAAGTCTGCACTCTCAGGTGGCACCAAGAATTGCAAGTAGTATGATACTGTATTATTTTCTCCACTGAAGGAATAATAGGAAGTGAGAATCAAATGCAAAATGGTTAGAAAACAATGGAAGAGAATACTTGTAGCTCAGGCTATATGGGGTTCTTGGTCTTCTCTGAGCTTGGTTGTTTTCTTGCAAATGTTTCATTACCAAGCTAGGCAATTTCATCATAATGATGTTACCAGATTTGGTAATGAAACATCTGCAAGAAAACAACCAAGTTCAGGAATCACCAAGGATCCCACAGTTAGAAAACATGTTTCTAAGGCTTTATTTTAGCTGTTTTTCAAAAACATGTTGCTATATGTCCCACTGGGTAGTTTTTGACTTAAAATATGTTCTTCTTCTCATCACTTAACTAATGGATTTGGTTTATGTCTGCCAAAGTCATTTTCCTTACTCTCCACAGCTGATGCTACAGTTACCAATGTACAGTATGTCTCTGGAATATGGACCCAGTTCATTTATACAAGATATACAATTTGATTTCAGAAACTTCAAACAACCTGATTCTTACAGTAGCTTCCAATACCCATGATTTTTAACACCAAAACTCAACTTTTTTGTTCATAGTCAAAAGAAGGTCTAGTAGGGTAAGCCTGCAAGTTTGAAGTCTCTCAGATCAGACCCTCTGACATTATTTCAGAATCAAAGGGCCTGTAGTTCTGCATGAACCAAAAGCATTTTCTGTCATGGCTTCAAATAATATCTAGTAAGTACCATATGTGAAACAAATATATATTGTATTTCTTCTCACTATACAAGTAGGATGGAAAAGCTGAAAAAACATTAAAAAAAAAAGCCTAATTTATTTCTTGGAGCAACTTAGCAGGACATTGGATTCTTTAAATCTTTCATATTAGAGACATTTCTTATTTGTTCATATTGTTCAGTTAAAATGTAAAAAAGACTGAACAAGTTCAATAACCACTAAACACTGCTAGAATTCTTTACAATTTACAGACTCATGTAGAATACTATGATGACTTTAGTCATGAACAGGATACAAGTAAGGATAGACTGCATCATTTCAATATATTATGTGTTCTGAAAGTATGGTATGGCTGAAATAAAATGCTCATTAGCATAAGTAATAATTGCATTTCAACATACTACAAGCTGCATAGAAAGTTATTTTTCTTTCATTCCATCTTTACTTCCCCAGCCCACAAATGACAACTAAGAGGAAATTCCTTTCCCTAAAATTACAAAATTAAATATATGGGGTTTTGTCACCCTTCATACCTGAAAGAAGTAACTTCAGATGAGGTAAAATATCTCCCCAATGCAGGTGAGTAACTGTATACATCCTTAAGCTTGAGAGAAAAAAATTAATCATCAGTCTTAGACAATATGGAAAGAACCCTCTCAATTGGTTTGCAACTAATTTACAGCTATGTACACTTTTAATTAATTTGAAAAATCTAGTTTTTTTTTCTTTTTACTAGACTAAAACCTGGTTTTCTTTTCCTAAGGCAAAAATTCCCTTGACTATTGCAGGTTATTCTCTAACAGAATGCTACAAAAGGATACCAGGTATTCTTATTAAGAGCTTCACCTTCTTAATAAGTAAAATGCTATCCCCCTTTATTTATCATAAGTGCCTTATACTCAAAGGGAAAACATTTCTAACCCAAATATATTACATTCCAGGCTACAGATAAGTCTTAGCTGTCTAATAATAGAAAAGAATAGCTGCCTGATTTAATAGTGAAAGAAAATATTCAAGGAAAAAAAATTCTTTTATATACAGTATCTCTGATGATTAGTCTACGGGGAGTCCATTCCACCAATGTTTTTACTTCACAATCATCATAAGGCAGTTCTACATAGCTAAAACGAACTTACCCTCTTATTAAGATTTGTAGAAAACACGTCATATGCAGATTCTGAGAGAAGCGCATTAGGGTTTGGACATTTAATGTTTACTATTCCTGAGAAATTGTGTTGTTTACCACTTGTAATTAATTCAGGATCCCAATATTCATCTTCATCTATGTGAACCACTAAAATAACAAAAGGGAATAAAATTAGTTATTATTCAGGCATATAGCCTAAATACCGTGTTTCTCACAAAATAAGGCCGGGCCTTATTTTTTTTTGACCCCTGAAAAAACGGCTAGGCTGTCTTTTCGGGGGTGACTTAATTTCCTCCCTCACCAAGAACGGCCCATACGCACGTACCTTGCCACGAGGCCGCTTCTATCGGCCAACGAAGGCTCCCTTGAAGGCAGAGTCCCTAGCCGCTTAGGGTGAGGCGTGGCTGCCCATGTCCCCTCAACTTTAGGCAGTCTCTTTCGGACAATGAAAGCTCCCCAAGTGCAGTCACCAGCCACTTCGATCAGCCAGTAGAAGCGGCCTCGGGGCGAGCGCACACACACACTCCCCTCGCCGCGAGGCTGCTTCTATCGGCAGACGAAAGCTCCCTTGAAGGCAGAGTCCCCAGCCGCTTCAGAGCGTGGCGTGGCTGCCTGTGTCCCCTCGCCTATAGGCAGTCTCTTTTGGGCGATGGAAGCTTCCCAAGTGCAGTCACCAGCCACTTCGATCGGCCAGTAGAAGCGGCCTTGGGGCGAGCACACAAACACACTCCCCTTGCCGCGAGGTCGCTTCTACCGGCCGATCGAAGTGGCTGGTGACTGCATTTGGGGAGCTTCCATTGCCCGAAAGAGACTGCCTAAAGGCGAGGGGACATGGGCAGCCACGCCTCACCCTGAAGCGGCTGGGGACTCTGCCTTCAAGGGAGCTTTCATCTGCCGATAGAAGTGGCCTCGCGGCAAGGTGTGTGCGCTCGCCCCGAGGTCGGTTCTACCAGCCGATTGAAGTGCTGGTAACTGCACTTGGGGAGCTTCCATCACCCGAAAGAGACTGCCTAAAGGTGAGGGGACATGGGCAGCCACACCTTGCCCCGAAGCGGCTGGGGACTCTGCCTTCAAGGGAGCTTTTGTCTGCCGATAGAAGCAGCCTTGCGGCGAGGGGAGTGTGTGTGTGCTCGCCCCGAGGCCGCTTCTACCGGCCGATCGAGGTGGCTGGTGACTGCACTTGGGGAGCTTCCATCGCCCGAAAGAGACTGCCTAAAGGCGAGGGGACAAGAGAAACCACGCCACGCCCTGAAGCGGCTGGGGACTCTGCCTTCGGGGAGCTTCTATCTGCTATCGGGGTATTCTAGCCCAGGCTACCTGCAGGGCACTCCTAAAGGCAAGTTTTCTCCCCATCCCCCCGCCCTCCTCCCCATTTCTCTTCACCTCATGTACTTCTAACGATGTGAGAAATGATGGGGAAAAGCATGGTTTAAATAGGCCTAAATTTTGGGGGCGGGACTTAATTTCACCTTATGCCTAGAAATCATGCTGGGCCTTCCTATTGGTGGAGGCTGTATTGTTGGAGAAACACGGTATTACTACAGGAACTCAGAGTCTTATTTCATCCAGACCAGAAGTCAACACTTTTTTAAAAATTAGAATTTGGAGAACAAGTAAAAATTGCCATGTGGAGAAGACCTTGCCCATTGTCTAAATAATTAGTAACTGGATGAGAACCCACTATAGATAATAACTGCCCATTATCTCTTTTCATATCTTCAAGGTAACTTAATCTATCTGACTTCATAATGAATTGGAAGGTGTTCTTTGTGTGCTTAACTGTTTCCCATTACCTTTCCCACTTCCTGTCTTGGAATGATTCTATTTATATACAAAGGCTTCTTTTCATTTCTTTTTTATTGTTACCCTTACTCATTTGTATATATTTCACAATTTGGGTTCTTGATTTGAATTGGGTTTCCCCCCACACTTAAGATTCCACACATTCTTGGATCTATTTGAGGATTTGAAAACCTTATTCTTTTTCTGTAAAAGTGACTAGTGGAAGTAGTTGTGAGCAGATACTGATGATGATTGTAGGACTTCTATATTGCAAATATAATCTAGTAAAGTTAGTTGATACATAAAGCTTTAAGGTTTTATAACTGAACAGTATTATTTTATTATGATTTAATATATATTATTATATAGCTGGTGAGAGGCAGCACAGTGGCTCAGTGATTAAGACAGTGGGCTTGTCAGCTGGAAAGGTTCAAGACCCAAGTGCCAGGTGGCGGAGTGAATTCCTGTTCCTGTTCCAGCTCCTGCCCGCCCTAGCAGTTTGAAAGCATGCAAATGACAGTAGATAAATAAGTACCACTTCAGTGGGAAGGTAGCAGCATGATGTCAATGATATCATGCTGGCCACATGACTGCGGAAATGTCTTCAGAAAGCACTGGCTCGATGGCCTTGAAATAGAGATGAGACTGCCCCCTAAAATTGGCAATGATTAGCAAAGTAAAATCTGCAAGGATTCATTTATTTTTATTTTATTATGGCTGGACTGTGTTCTGTTGAAGTATGGGTTCTAAATAAAAAAAATAATTTTAATGGGTAAGAAACTTTTCTTTTCTGGTTTTATTAATAATGATTTTGTGTTATGGGATATATATAACAAAATGATGGGAGAGCTGAGAATAGAACTTGATCTCCCAGCAAATAATGAGTAACTTATAAATACTTAAAAGTAATTGGTACCATTGGATCAGTTTAATGTTAATTAAAAAAGATAGGATGGTATTAGAATGCTTTCTCATATATAAACATACACATGAATACATGTGCAAAATGTATGTATGTATGTATGTATGTATG